ACATTCACATTTTTCTAACATACTTCATTTTAAAAAACACTACGAATATTGAACAAACATTTTTAATGATATTTTTTACAATTTGGATCATCTTAGTTGATTTTCTCCATCAATTTCTGTTTTATCTTTGATAATGAGTAGATTTATCTTTCTGTCATTTACTTTTTTTCGCATGTTTACTTTTCAACAATTTACTTTTTATTATTTTTTTACTATTCTAGCAATTTGTTTTAAATGTCTCAAATCATGTTGGAAATAAAAGTTGTGTGTAACTTAATTGAAATAAATTGTGTTTTAAATATCGAAATTACATGATGTTTAAATTATTTATCGCATAATTAGATATAAGTTTAATTAAATCAAATAATAAATCATTTACATTAGAAACAAATGGTCTAATCTATATTTTAAAACGATAAATTTTTTTAATCTAAATTAACCTTATATTAGACTAATTGACTAATTTTGGTTTGATTGATTTTTTTTTAAATATTAACATTTATACAAAATTAATTAATTAAAAAAATAAAAATATATTTTGAAAAATTAAATTTTATTAATACAATTAATTTTTATTTAAGATATATTAATTTAGTATATAAATTATAAAAGAATATATCTCCTTAATCTCAAAAGAATATTTTAAAATTTATTTTTTATTATAATTATTTATTTGTTATTAATTAATTAATATAAATTATTAGATTTTAAAATAAATAATTATTAATAATTTATTTTAATATTTTTTAAAATAAAATTATTATCAAATTAATTTATATTATATAATTTTTAATAAAATAATATTAAATTTTTTATTTAAAAGGTTATAATTATTTTATAAATTTATTCATTCATATCTTAAAAGAATTAGTGTAACTTAAATTCATATAAATCATAATTTATCAAAATCAGTATGCTTCAATTTATATCATAATTTTTTTTTATTTAACGTTTCGATTGACACTTATATGACATATATAGCCAATTGGTCTAAGTGACTATATGGGATCTATTTGTAGATACTCATTTGTTATATGAGTACGAAGATCAGTACGAAGACGGACTTCAAACTTCTGTTAATAAAAAAGTAATTTCCTTGGATATGCGTCCGTTAAAAGAGTAAATGAGTTTGACAATATATGATTCGTGTTGACATTGTCCCTCTCGAGCGTCGTTTTATTTAAACAAATAAAAATAGAATGAAACGTCAAGCGTTTTAGGTTAATTTTCATCCCTTCAAACCGTTTCAAATTTTATGAGAAATTCTTTTTCGTCACGCACCTCCAACATTTGCTCTCTCAAATATTTAATTGGGTGACTAACAGTGACGGATTTTCGTATCAAACAAATAATATATTATTAATAAATAATAATAATAATAATAAAAGATAAAATATATATATATTAAAATGTAAATTTTAATAAATTAAATTTTGATTTTTATTATATAAAAATAAATTTTAATTAATATACTTAAATCATATGAAAATAAATATTAAAAATTAAAATATTACGTTTTAATTATTTTAGCAGATAAAGATGATCATTAAATAATTATTTTTGAATAAAAAAATGAAAAAAAATTCGTAAAAAAGGAAAATATATAAGGTATAGAGTAGGCATGATTGAAATCACCCATTTATTATTACACGGTATGTGGTCATTTTATGCTTAAACATAATATAAACGCATCAAATTGATAATTTAAAAAATATAAATAAAAACACAGAGGAAAGTGACAATAAATTTGTTATTCTATCGAATAACAAAAGTCAAAGTAAAAAAAAAAAAAAACAAAGAAAGTTGATTAAGAAATTAATTAAATTAAAGTGCCCTTGGACAAAAGAAAAGAAGAAAGAACACCACTTACCACACACATATGATTCAAGAAAGCACAATATTGAGTATGCATGTAAGTTGTAACATTTGCTTCTTTCAGTATGTGCCAGAGATTCACATTATTAGCTCTCCCACTAATTACACTTCAGTTATGCAACCAAGAAAGGTTAAAAGGTTATGACATGACATTCATGCACATTTGTTATCAACTTTTATGCTCTTTTTTTATTTTTCAACTACGAAACAATTACGGGAGGGACCTCCTCCTAGTGCATGCAAATCACTGACACGTAATAATGCCCACCACCATCTTCTGATACATTTCTATTGTTCAAACCTTTTAACCACATTTATTTTATAATTTTGTTCACATTTTTTTTCTAATCAAAATTTATGAGAAAAATAATTTCTAAAGTAAAAATTAACTTACGTTTAAGTTGATTTTTTTTTTTCTGGATTATGTATAGTTCAATATTAATTAATAAAAATTTATGTTATTTGTTTTGTTTTTCCATTGTCTTCTTCTTTAAATAGCTATGAAAAAGCTTATAAACCAAACACGTCATAGTTTTATTCAAAATTTAACTTATTACTTCCACTAATTCGTTGATTCAATCTTTTGCTGTCTTTCATATACCCAATTAATTCAAAACAATAATCGATGTTATTAACTTTTGCTGGGTCACTCTTATAATAATAATTTTATGATATTTGTCATAGCTAGCTTCATAGATTCCTTTCTACTTTTTAATTTTTTTTCATGTCCACATACACCATCAGGTGCATGCATGCATGCTTATTTCATATGTACCAATCATAAACGAAAAGATGATATTTTCACGAGTCTCACGTTAAAATTAGTTATGATTTTTTTCTCCTCACTTAATTTATTAAAATCTCTTTTAAAAATAAAATTATGATGATTAATAGTATCTCGTATATAATTAATCTTAATATTTTCATTTTTAAACCAAACAAAAATACTAATTCAGATTCTAAGATTAATCATATAGTATTAAAAGAAAGAAAAAAAAATCAAAGATCAAATTTTTTAAATTTAAATCACTTTAAAATTAATTATGAATCAATGATATAAAATAAAATATTATTTTTAACTTCAACAGCAACAATAAAGGCATTTCTCCCATTTTATAAAAATTTACTTATTATGTAAAATTATAGAGAGCTTATAAACACTCAACACAAGAGTTTAAATAAAATAAAATTGTAGTTACTGTCGTTTTTCTTGCATATGATTGTTTACAGTAAACAGAAAGGATAAATGAAATTAAGTCAATACATTACGAATAATTGGTTTAAAGTTTTCAAATCATGTTTTTTCTTAACAATTATTTTCATCAACTGTGATCTGGAATTCAAAATAACGTTCCATCAATTTCAATTGAACTCAGCAATCGAACGTGCGATTAGAATTTTCTGAATAAACATTATTTTATTCCTAAAAGTGAGTCAACTATTATTTCTGTACATGATTTAAGAGATTGGAGAAAAGATAAGAATCGTTTCCTACTTTTTAAACAGTTTTGTTGACATTTTTAAGCCATTAAAGCTAAGATATTTTTGTTGAAAAAAATGTTTACTACACTTTATACAACTTTAATATAATAAATGCGTTTTTTTTTGTTTCATTCTAGTTGCTTAAATTAATTTCCAAAAGTTGACGTTAATACAATATTTTTAGTAATTTTTAAGAGGTTTGAAGTATAAAGTAATTTTTTAATTTTAACTCATTAAATTAATATTTAGCTTTTATCATTTGATAATTATATTTGAATTAATTAAATAATATTATGAAATTTGAAGAGACATGATACACGTAGCGGGATGTTCAATTATCCTGTTTGTAAATATACTAAATTATTAATTTGTATGATAAAAAGATGAAATTTTAATTTTGAAATATTTAAATTAAAATATTTGTTCTTTCTTTGGTTCAATTGACAAATCACATCAGAAAATGAATAATAAAAAAGAATTAAAATATAAAGTGATAGTATTATATATTTTTTGTAAGAATAAAATGATTGTAAAAAGAATGGAAGGAGAAAAGAAGAAGGAACAAATGAGAAAACGAAACGTGAAAGGAGTGAGAAGGAGGAAAAAGGAAGTGGAGGCAGCATCTGGCTTTCTTTCTCCTTCAGAAAAGCAACCATGATGAGGACATTCACTTTATACATATCAACATGTCACCATCACACACTCATACACCACCAGGACAAGACAAGAACTACTACTCCCACAAACACAACAACAAACGATACTCTCTCTCTTTCCCCCACCCCCAACATAACCATCTTCCTTTTTTTCATCTCTTCCAATCTATGTGAACTCTTTTAGCCTCTTACATATATACTTTTATTTCCATTTTCACCTCTTCTCCCAATAAAACATCTCCTCCTGTTCCCAAACTAGTCTAACATATTTCTTTTTTATAGTCAAACTAACTCAACCACTTTTAAACTCTCCTGTTTAAATAAATTTTATCGGGTGAGATTTAATTAGGAGATGTGATTTTGTAAATCTTATTTAAAATAATTATTTATTATGCAAATTTCAAGTAAGAGTATCAAATTATTTAATAAATATAGTAACAAAGTAACATGTTCAAGATCTAATATAGAAATTTTAGATGTAAAACTGAATAATCTATTAAAAGGAGACTTAAAATTATATTAGAACATGATTTTCATTTGAATAATAATTAATCCAAGTCCGGATATTTTTTACTAGAGAAAAAACAAATTTTAATTAGTGTTTAAAATAAAAGTGTGCTTCTCCCTCTCACAGTTAATAATTTAAAATTAGGTTAAGTAAAATGTGAAGGCCAACAATGATATTTTGTTAATTATATATATATATATATATTAATTTTTTTTTAATCTGTCTCCCCCTTCACTCCTTAGTCCTATCCTCTTGTATATAATAGTGAAATGTAATGGGAGCATGCTCTCTCAAACACAACATTCAACTACTCCGATGCTAAACTTCCTTTTCATGTACTAGTCTTTAAGGTTTTCTGGAAGTCCCGTAAAATAATGCTTCCCACCCTAAATAACCAAATTTAAGGTAGCTTCGATCGGCGTTTCTCAAAATTCTCAATTATTATTTATAAAATTTGTTCTCTTTTATGAACGCCGGCGATGCCTACGCCGGTGGCAGCAGCGAGACAATGCCTGACGGAGGAGGCCGCAAAGGGGCTCGACGACGCCGTATCGGTGGCCCGGAGGCGCGGCCACGCGCAGACCACTTCACTGCACGCCGTCTCCGCCATGCTCTCCCACACGTCCTCCGCACTGCGCGACGCATGTGCACGCTCCCGAAGCGCGGTGCACTCGACGCGCCTTCAATTCAGAGCCCTCGAACTCTCCCTCAGCGTGTCACTCGACCGCTCGCTGTCAAAATCTTGCGGCGGCGACGATCCGCCGGTGTCGAATTCGCTCATGGCCGCCATCAAGCGGTCGCAAGCCACCCAGCGCCGCAAGCCGGAGAACTTTCCCCTCCAGCAACCTTGTTCCGTTAAGGTGGACCTGCATCACCTGATCCTGTCCATCCTCGACGACCCCGTCGTGAGTCGCGTCTTCGCCGAAGCAGGTTTCTGGAGCTCCGAAATCAAACTCGCCATCCTCCGTCCCCTCACGCACCTCATGCACCAACAACTTCCTCTTCGCCGGAACTTCCCCTTCGCTTTCTCTGGCGAGGAGGACGCCGATAATCGGAGGATCGCGGAGGTGCTATCCCGGAAGAGTGGCAGGTAAATAGTTTGTTCGAGATTAATAATTAATTATTACCTTATCCAGTTTAGCTTTAATTATTTATTAACTTAATTTGTATAACTTTAAGGAAAAAATATTTGAAAATCCAAATCCATAATATTCCTCTAAACATCTCTCATTTAATATTATAATAATTATTTTATTTTATTTTTATTAAATCATTCTAAAAATTTTATATTAATAAAAATGAGTTATTTAAAAGATGATATAATTTCTAATTATCAAAATATCATTACTTTAATTTTAATACTTCAAACCATGCTTACATTTTTTTAATCTATATTAATTTTTAGATTTTTTTATTCATAAAATAATATATACGAATATCAGAAAATTAATAACAAATTTGCTCACATGTTTATTAATTGATAGTCTTTTAACTCTTGAAACTACGAGAACTAAAACAAATATGTACTCTAAAATGTAAATCAGTAATTATTTAAAAACGATACATATTAGTCTAAGTACTCTTTACATGGAGAATTTTGAGGAGTAAATTGAGACGTTCATGTGATCAACGTACAATTACCATTTTTCATTTGTATGATTTTTCTTCTTTTTTTCAAATCTCTTATCGAAAACTATGTTTTGTACAAGGGCAGAAATCCCTTGCTTCTGGGTGCATGTGCACGTGATGCGCTGCGGAGTTTCGTGGAAGCGGTGGAGCGGCAAAACAGCGCCGTTTTGGCAGGGGAGTTGTGCAGTTTGCGCGTGACGCGTATTGGAAGAGAGGCTATGGAGTTTGTTGGCGGGAGTTGCGGGGAAGAGGTTGTCAGTGGGAGGTTTGAAGAGATTGGTGAAATGGTGGAGCAGCGCGTGGGGAAAGGTGTAGTGGTTGATTTGGGAGAGTTGGAGGATTTGGTGAATGAGAAAAACGGGTGGGGTGAGAGTGAGGCAGTTAGGTATGTGGTTATAGGGTTAGGAAAGTTGTTGGAAGTTAGTTACGGAAGGTTATGGTTGATTGCTGCTGCGGGCAGTTATGAAATATATATGAAATTTGTGGGGAGGTTTTCTTCTATAGAGAAGGATTGGGACTTGCAGCTTCTGCCCATTGTCTCTATTCGCTCTTCTTTTTCTGCTCAAGCATATCACACTCCCAGGTACGCCCCGTAAACCGAACATTTATTTATTCAACTACTTGTTTCCTTTTTGGATGGATCATTCAATGAGTTCTTATTCTGTAAGAATTTATGTTTCGCACCACTTCGTTAAAATTGTTGGAATAAATTAAATTAATTTTATTTCTTAAAAATGGTTTAAAAGTGGTTTGTAAAATTGTAAATATAAATATGTGAATTAATTTCGTAAAAGTTGTTAATGTTTGATTATTTTTGGTGTCAAATGTATATTTGATTTTCGCACACACAAAATATGTATTACTTAAAATATATATATATATATATATATATATATATATATATATTTTTTTTTTTTTTTAATTTACTTTTTTTAGGATCTCATAATGTATTTCTTTATATTTAAATTTTTAAAAAATGCCACAAATTTTAGATGATTGACATACTTCCTCTCACCCCTCCTAGTTGAAGTACGTTTGTATATATATATATTCATAAACACTAGAAAAGATATTTAACGTAAATAAAATTAAATTGTACAACATATTTCATATTCATTTTCAAAAACTTATTTTTAGTTTAATACAAGCTCTTTTTAATTTATAAAAATGTTTATTCTTTTTCTTATTTTCTTGTTTAGAAAAAATAATTAAATTTTTTAATTCCAACATGTTCTTAGTAATTTTATTCAATGTCTGCGATTGGGTGATAGCATTTTCTGAAAGATGTATTAGAAGTACTTATTTAATTTAATAATAATAATAATAATAATAATAATAATAATAATAATAGTAATAATTATAATAATAATAATAATTATTATTATTATTATTTATACTTCTTACTAAGTATTAAAAGGATTATTTAAACACATGTTTTAAAAGGGATTTTTGTTAAAAAAGTATCCTAAAATGTTGGTTAAAAAATCAATACATTTTTTATTACTAAATATTTTATGTATTTTATTAACAGGTTTATTCAAATAAGTTATGTATACACCTCATTATTTACGTTAATGGTGAACGAATTTTTGGGGCGCGAGACTTAGTTTAAACAATTAAGAAACCATAAAGACTAAATGTAACCAATTAAATTTAAACATATAAAAAATCATACATAAGTATTATTAAAAAAATCACATATAAATTAAAATGTAAACATAGAAAATTGTAGTTAAGTACTTCATTTTTCATTATTGTTTTACAAATAACCGTAAAAGCTAGACATATTAATTTAGGTCATAAGTTTGTATGAAAATGTGTTGTATGGTCTTTGTCACATGATGACAATTAAATTCAACCTGTGGGATCGATCCGTCTTCAATCTTGAGTAAGTACGAAAAAATCTAATTGAGGCTGGAACATAGACGAGTAATTTAAATTTTAAAATATTAATTTTTAAAAATATTTTTTTTATTACATATAAATAATTTCTTTTACTATTATTACTTTTCTTCTATTTACTTATTAATTTTTTTATCTTTTTTAATCTTTTATATCAATTAGTTCATTACATTATTTTTTTCTCTTATTTTTTCATTTTTTCACATTTCTTTAATCTCTCCCATTCATTTATTTTTTTAATCTTTTCAACCAGTTTGATGAACACAGAGTTAATTTTTTTTATTTATCTTTTTTTCTAAATATTTTATATAAATATTAGTATTAACTAATATTATTTTATTTATAATTTATCTTTATTAGGTTTTATTATATTATATTTTTTGGATCATTTTATTCTTATTTGTCATATATTAAATTTTATCTTAATAAAATAATTATATTTTAAAGGATTAAAAAACTGATAATTTAAATTTTTATTATTTCGAAATAATAAAATAAGAACTAATTTATTAAATATTTTCTTATAAATTATATATTTCATATTTTTAAATGACTTTTAACTTGTATATAATCAAATATTTGAATACATTATTATTATTATTATTATTATTATTATTATTATTATTATTATTATTATATTAATGTTATAAGTATTCAAATATTTAAATATATAATAATAATAATATAAGTATTTTACATATGCATAAAGAAAAAATAATTAAATATTTTTTTACATATATATTTTAATATAAATAAAATAAATTAAAAAATATATTTAATTAATAATAATTATAAATTATAAAAATTTATTTATGTAAATAATAAAATTAATTTATTATAAATATAATTATTTTTAAAAAACGAATATAGATCAAGGACTAAATGAAAAAAACCAAAAATTCTAATCGTGACGGGAATCGGTACAAGAGTCAGATTTGCCGTGCCTATTGGTTATAAATGATATAATAAATGTGAAAAAAATATATAAATATATTCTATACGTATGATTAAAAATTCAATTACATCATTTAATTTTTTTACATTCAACTTAATTTTCGAACTGACTTTATAGAAGTACTATTATAATATTACTTTATATTAGATTTTCTTCATCATGTTATGTTCGAGAGAAATTAATTATTATTTAGATGTTTAAAAATAAAAGATGTTATGTACCGTAACACTTTATTTATAGCAATAATGCATAATGGATTCATTAGTTCAATTTGCTATTCTTTTCTCTTTCTTTAACTTTACTTCCTGGTTTGATTGATTTTATTGTGTTTGCCATCAATATGGTGAAAGGTGTGAGTCAAGTATGCTCGCTGCTTCAACTGTTGGTCTATGCCTGCCAAACTTACCTCCACGGTTGCACATTTCAGAATTAGGATCAGCACAAGGATTAAATCTTAAGGTGTGTAGTACTCGTACGCATTAATTCTGGCTAAAATTATTTAGTGAAGTTACTTACAATACTATCTTCATTTTGCTCCCTTTTGTTTTACATAACATCCTGCAAATCATCTGTTAATTTACCTGTGATTGCATGATTCGTATGAAGAGTTAAACCACTTTTTTTTATTCAGTGCAGATAGAAGATGATGTTGTTGTGCTGAACAGTACTGAATCTGCAACACACAAGAACTTGGACAAAATGTGCCAGTATATTTATAAAATATCCCCTAATGCAAATACCTGTCCAACAGCTATGGGGTTCCAATATTGCGACAACAAAGGAAAATTTGCTAACAACCTCAGCAGCAAACTTACACACACATCATCAAGTGAATACATCAATATAAACTCAGAAGTGCTTGTTAGTAAGCAAATTATTTCCACATCACAATCAAGCGGTTCTTTTCCAATGGATTTCAATGCAAGGCAGGAGAAGTATACTTCAAAATTTTCACAGAAGTTCCAAAGGGTGGAATGTTTGGAGTCAAGTGATCTAGGATCATGCAACATGGGCACTTCAATTGTTTGTGATGGAAGCCAGTTGTCTCCCACGTCTGTGATTGCTGTAACCACAGATTTGGGATTAGGAATGTGCTCCTCTCCTACCAGCAATAAATATAAGAAACCTTCCAGTCAATTTACAGTTGAATCTCCAAAGGAAATCTCAAGTTTATTTTCTTCAAAATTTAACGTTGCTGGTGGAAACATCTTGAAACATCCATCCCAGCCATCAACCTTCTTAAGTTCTGACTTTTGCGGACAAGTTGATGCAAGGAACTCCAAAATTCTTCTCGATGTCCTTACCAAGGAGGTTAGCTGGCAAGATGAAGCCATTAGTGTCATCAGCAAAACAATAGCTGGCAGCCGTACAAAAAGGGTTGGAGCAAAGCACAGGGGTGACGTGTGGATGAATTTTGTTGGACCTGACAGGAATGGTAAAAAGAAAATTGCTGTTACTCTAGCAAAGTTCTTGTATGGAAGCCGGGATAGATCTATTTTTGTGGATCTAAGTTCTGAAGAAACGAAAGGATGCATTGTGCAATTCAGAGGAAAGACTACTCTTGATTTAATTGTAGGTGAATATATCAAGAACCGTTTCTCTGTGGTCTTCCTAGAAAATGTAGACAAGGCAGACGTGTTAGTTCAAAATAGTTTGTCTCAAGCCATGAAGACTGGAAAACTTACAGACTCACGTGGAGGAGAAGTGGGTGTAAACAATGCAATATTTGTGACTTCTTTCTCTGGTCACCAGGCAAGGGAACCTTCCAAATATTCTGAGGAGAGAATAGGAAAGGTAAAAGGGAGGCCTATCAAAATAACAGTTGAAAATGTGAGTGGCGACATCAAAAGCCGAAGTGTTAGTGTGGATGATGGTTCAATAGATAACATTCCCAATCCAGTTGTATCAAATAAGCGAAAGTTCGTTAGCCACAATGAATTTCATGATCAGCATTTACTCTCAGACACGTCTAAAAAGGCATATGCAACACCAAATTGGCATTTAGATTTGAATCTTCCAGCTGAAGAGAATGAACCTCAAGTTCGACAAATGAGTGATGGAAACTTGGAACATGCATCAACTGATATGCAAAACCTTTGGTTGCAAGATTTGTCTGAACAGGTTGATGAAACAGTTGTTTTTAAACCTTATAATTTTGATGCACTTGCGGATAGAGTGATGAAAGTGATCACAAGTAGCTTCCACAAAACTATTGGATCTGAATGTGCCTTACAGATAGAATCAGAAGTCATGGACCAATTGCTTGCAGCTGCGTATGACTCAGATGGAGTTAACGGCATAGAAAATTGGGTAGAACAAGTTCTCTGTGGAGGATTTACAGGGGTACAGAGAAGGTACAACCTTACCGCTTGTTCTATTGTGAAACTTGCTACATGTTCGCATCAAACATCAAATGTGTACCTTCCTCCAACTATAACAATGGATTAAATTCCTTAGAAAATATTGTTTTTCCAATTTGGATGCATAACTTAGCTGTAGCACATAGTTCAACTTAATCTCCGGGTATAATTATTCTGGGTTTCTTTATCTCATTGTCGAAGTTATAAGTGGAAATACTATTTGTGTGTGACTTTACTTACATAGTAAAACCAAATAATCTTCTTTATACGAAAGAAAAAGAAAAATCAAATGTCTTCTGGATTCTTTTGGGCCATTAGGCCCTCCTCGGAATAAAGCCCTTTTCTGCCGTGGGACTTTTATTATTTGAATATTTTATAATGAAAAGCAGTGGGGTGCTTTTGTTTCTTTGTTTGAAAAAAAAAAGAAAAAAAAAGAATATATTTTTATTTCACCTCATATTTTCCAAATTAAAAGAACAGTATTCTGTGAAATAAAAGTTGATCCTTTTTAATTCATTTTATAATAATTTAAATGATGGCAACTAATGTAATTTTATTTCATTCTTTTTTTATCAATCCAAATAACATAAATGATATATTTTTCTTAAGAGAAAGAATGTTCATTATTATAATTGCAAATCAATCCACTTGTTTAAATAAATTTTCTATTTGAACCTCTGCTTATTCTCACTCTTTCATTTTCACACTTTCACCCCCTTATATGCTTTGCAGAAAGAGAAATCTTACCATTTGTATAATTTAATACATAATAACTCGGTTCTAGCATTAAAATTATAATTGGAGCAAAATATAACTTGAAGAGATCATAGAGCAAATATTGTCCCTTTAAAAATAATCTAAGTCATTAAGAAGAATATGATTAATTTTTATTTTAGTATTAACTTCCTATCATGTCAAATCTTGCAGTAAAATTTCTAAAACAAACTTTTAATAAAATTCTTATATTAAATATAAAATCTTATAATTAAATCCTTTTAAACTAAAACTAGCTTATTCATAAATATAAAACTCTTTAATTAATTGACATTCATTAAAAAAATTTAATTTAGTTAGTAACGTTAAATTTATCAAAAAAATTATGTTTTTTAAGGATTAAAATCATAATTCACACTTATATTCTCGTGATCTCCTCTCAAATATGATTTGAATTAAACTGGTCATTACATAAACTAGGGAATAAATGCATGTCTATTTTCAATAATGAATATGAGTTAACCAAAAATTAATATCAACTTTAAATTCAAAATCTTAAGATATTTAATTATAATTATTTTTTACTTATAAGTTATTATTATTTTCATTTATATTCATTTCAACTCATAATTGAATTCTTAATAACAAAATAATAGAAAACATTTTGACAAAAATAATTAATAAAATACGATTTGAAAGAGTTATTAAAAAAACGTACAAATAAACGATTTTATTACAATAAAAACTTACATGTAACTATCAAAACCGTATACATGAGAGCTTATTTCCTAAAATAATGTAATTCACTTATTTTTAAAATGGGTAATTTAAAAAAAAATTAGATATAGATAATTCTTCAACCACCAATTTCTTTTTTTTAAGTCGTATTTTAACCCACAACTTTAGTAAAGCATTTTTCTTTTTAGAGTTATCTTTTGATTGACTAATTTAGTTGAATATGATTTTTTTTATTTTGAAATCCTCAATTAACTGAAAACTTTAATTTATATATATAGTTTTTTTAGGTTAGTTTTTTATTTTTAACTATTAAAAGTTTTATTTTAATATTTATAAAATTAATAAAAAATAATTAATTAGTATATAGATATCAATAATATTAAATAATTTTTAAATAATTTGTTTAAAAGAAAATATTAATATGTTTAAGTAAAAGAAAAAAAAACACTTATTAAAACAAAATACAACACATATAATACATATATTGGCCTGATGTACAAACCACAAACTATTTATAAAATGTAATTTTATCCAATTTAAAATAAAGATTATTAATCTTTTTATTTAGATTTAAAATTTATTCTTAATTCAAGTATGTATCAATAACAATTAGAAAGACTAACCACAAATTTTATTCATAATGAGATAGGTACATATTTTAAATAAAAAAAGTTATTTTAATCGAAACAAAGTTCATTGTCGATAATAAAAATATAAAATTTTATTTTTTTATATAATATATTAATATTTTTCTCATTAACATATTAATATTTTTAATAATTTTAAATAAAAAACTAACCTAAAAAAACACCTATATATGACTTTAGGATAAAAAATTATATGAAAGTCGTCAATTAATTGTAGATTCTATTGTAAAAGAAAAATTACATTTAACTAAAGTTGTGAATCAAAATCTAAAAAAACAAATCTTAAGAAAATATTAAGAAGAAATCACACACACACACACACATATATATATATATATATATATATATATATATATATATATATGACTCTCAAACAAATAAAATCATGATTTTTTTTAAATATAAAGTTATATCTCAAAAGATTTATAATTTTTTAAAAATTTACCCATTCTAAATTACACTAATTTCAGAAATAATTAATTTATAGAAATCGAAAGAATGGAATAAGAGTAAAAAAAAAAAAAACACTTATTGCACGAAGAACAGACATATGTGTAATTACAAAATAATGTGTGTATATAAATATGGGTTACTTTGTTACAATTAAAACCAAGATAATAGTCAAAGAAATTTAATCATATCTGACATAGAGTTGAATGAAAATTTTAATTGAATAATGTACTTATCACAAAGATAAACCAGAATTTTAAATTAGTGTTATTCCAAACCCATATCCTTTTAGATAGACAAAATCATATTTTATTTTAATTAACTCTTTGTTTAAGGGTGTACCCATCTTCTTCTATCTACTTTTTTTTATTACAAGACTCAATTTGATTCTTTCTTTAAAAATATTAGACTTCTTTTATCACTAAGACCAATTAAGTAAATCTGTAACCGTCCATTCTTTTTCTAATTATAAATTTCCCCCCAAAAAAATGCAAAAAGAACAATAATACTTTTATTTCATGAGAAATTAAATTAATTTGTCACTCCAATAAAAATCCACCACTGTGTATACTATAAGCTATGTTGAAAAAGACTAAATTACATTAATATATTTCAACTTATTTTTTATTTTTAACTAAACTTTTAAAATATATGAACATGAGTGTAGTCTACATAATTTTATATTTCTTAAAAAATTTAGTCACTATAAAATATATATTTTAAAGGAGGACAATAGAAACTTTGTTAGTGTACATTTATCAACTAGAGTGTTACTGATGTTAGCACTAAATTAACATTAACTTAAATATTATAAAAAATATATAAGAAATTATATTTTTTTAAAATTTAATGCACATTTTGTTAGCAATAAAATAAATATTGAATTATATTTCTAATATTTCATATGCTTTTATAAATGTGTAATTTACGAAATATTTATTATTAATAATAATAAATAGTAAACTACATTTTCATTTACAAAGGGAGTGTATTAGTTAACCTGATTAAACAAATGGTCAACTTTCATTTTCAAGCACGTGCTGTTTGACTATTTTTTTCACTTTTTTATTTGCAGTGTGCGTGTTGGAGACAAATGCCTCAAAAACAAAGGCAAGGGACGCGCCAACTCAAATCATCTTTTAATTTTTAATCTCTTAAAATTTGGAGTAATTTTGGATTAGATTTTTTAAATTTAAAAATAAAATCCAGTCACTAAAATAAATAAATATAAACTCTAAATTTTTTAAATAAAAACTGAATACAGTTCTAAATGTTAACATTTAACATACTAATTTTAGTATTTATTTAGTTTTTTAATTTTATTTTGAATTTTTATTTTTATTTTTTTACTTGAAAGACCAATAATTCTCCCATATTCATGTTTAGAAACATAATTAAACCAATTAAATATCTCTACTAAATAACTTTCAATTATTAATCCTTTTTTTTTTTTCTTTTCTTATGTTGAGGAGGGCCTGAAGGCCCATTTCATACTGGGTCACAACAAGACAATGACATTCCACAAAAAAATTGTTGCTACCCATATTCCATGCCCATGCCATTTAAAAATTAATGTGCAAATATGTATATTAAATGTAACCAATTAAGTAGGCACTACTAAACTTTATAAATAATCACTTTTTTTAATTCATACTATAACTAAAATCAACTAAGAGACTAACATAACTAGTTATATTTTAAAAATTAACAAGAAAAAAAGACGTGTTTATATAAATTTGATCATAAGTACATGCAAGACAAAATAATAAAAAATTAATTTAATTTGTCTCAAAAAAATTATGAACACTAACTGTTAAAATAAATGATAGAGTTTACTAAATAAAAGTTAAGTGCATAAGTTTATTTTAACTCATGATAACGGTTTAAGTTATTTTGCTTGTTTATCGTAGAAAAAATATTAAAAAATTTATAGAAATTAATATTTTATGGATTTAATAATAATAATAATAATAATAATAATAATAATAATAATAATAATAATAATAATAATAATAATAATAATAATAATAATAATAAAAACGTCTTAAGTTTGTGCAAAGTGAAATCCATGCATGCTTAGTCTTAATTATTTTAAGCAAAATTTAGTCTGCAAAATCAGAAGTTAACACATTATTTGTAATTTGAATTAGGTTAAACCCTAAACCTTGTCTACATTCTGATTTTGTCCAATACGATAGTTTCCATCACTAATATAATCCATTAAAACTTGACCACTCGATCGATGCATGTGCAATGTTCCCCATAGGCTATATATGTAAACACTTTTTCCCTATTAATTACTTATATCTTCTGACTTCTCTAACGTGATTCAATGGCTACATTTTAGACAAGGACAATGAACATTACTCTAATTTTTTTTTAAAATAATTAACAATAATAAAAACCAAACTCGTGTTTTGGTCTCTGTTGAGATTGATATGTAATGAAATGCGATGCAAATCATGTCAAATAATATGCTGTTCATATATATGGATCCAGTGAAATACCTTTTCAGATTTGATTTAGGCACCTACTTAACACCTCTATTAAGACAAATTATAGTTAATCAACGTATCACTTTCACATCTTAATTTTGGTTAAAGGTTTTTAGTTAGCCACTTGATCCACTTCACACAAGTGGAACAAATTGATCAGAATCCAAAGATGGTTATACTTTTCTTACTTGAAAAGATGGAAAGGTTACCCTGCATTGCATGTGTCCCTCAATTTCATCCCCATGATGCTGACGTTAAAGGTTAAACAACCATTCAGAGTTCTCCATATTCAAACATTTCAAAATCATGCCAACGACCATTGATTCAATTTGATAGCATGAAAATGAACTAGTCGTTTCTGTTTATGTTATTTTTTCATAAACCCAAAAAAAAAAATTGTATTAGTTAATTGCTTGTTAAATCTTTGCAATGAATTATAAAAGAAAAAACGTGGAGGGTTTTTATTTTTTATTTTTTTTCATTGAAACAAACATGTCTTTCCCTATTAAAATACTTAATGAGAAAGAAAAAAAGATTCAAACCAATTAAACGACCCTATCATGAATACGTAATCCCAAATGAACAATTCCAGATTAGGGTGACTCAGTTTCACTAGGGGACAACATGAGTGGCGATTTGAAAAATTAAACAAAGTGTCACTAATGAACAGTTTCATGCATGTGATTAAAAAGAGAGTAATTGGATATATTTTATGATGAAAACCTTAATAAATAGTTGACAATACTGACTTTTGAGCATGATGGGGCTCTAGAATATTCAACACAGTTACACTTGTTTTCTTCTGAGATAAAGCTCAGCGGTGACATGAAAAATTAGGCAAGCATGTGAGTTTTAATTTATGAACAACTTTTGTGAATACTATGTAGGAGGAGCATTAACCCACGTTGTTGAACAGTCTTGTTCAACGTTGGCTACTGGCTAGGGCTAGGTTTGAGAGGAACCAGTCTATTCTGGGTTATGATTAGTTCTTGTATGAACTGGGACCACTATTTATTTACTCATGATCATAATTAATTTTCGTGTGATATATATAGTTAAAATTTTAATTTATAGAAAATAAGTAATATATTTTTTTTTCATATTGTGTAGAAATTGATTTAAATTATGCAGTGGTGCAAGGCTGTCTAATAATTTTTTCCATGGTATCAATCCGTACATTATTTTTTCAGATTATAACTCAAGACAATCAACAAGAGAATCTTGATGTGTCACACAATCTATTGTTCCTTTTAAGAATCTAAAATTGGATGATATTAAAAGAAACAATGGTTTGTTTTAATAATCTGCATTACATGAAAGCGAGAATCAATTGTGACATGTAAAATCAGATGGACCACATAAGCGAAATTAAAAAGAGAAGATATCAAATAAGCATTAATTCATACCAAGAATCAGCAGCTACTACTCTGTAAGGGTAATCTTTCATTCTCATAAATTTCACTAATGTGACACTTCAACTTAAATTTCAATAATTATTCTCTTAAATGTAAATATTTTTATCTGGATATCACTTTTTGAATAATTTTAAAAGGAAAACATACAAAAAAAATATATTAATGAATCACTAGACATTTAAATAAGAGAACATATCATTATTTTTAATTTAACATTTTAAAATCATAGATTTGTAAAATTTTCTGATCACTTATATTAGTCAAAACTTTTATTTTATGTAATTTGACGCTCCAATTTAATTAAATTTCCTATTCATTATTTTGAAAGGTTAAAAGATTACTCTCTTTTGTATTTTGTATTTTTTATGATGAGATAACCAAAAATGAAAAAAAAAATAGGTGAAAAAGAGTAGAAATAATATCAATTAAACAGATTTAATTATTATTAATAATTTTTTTTATTTTAATCATATATTATTATAAAAAGAGTAACAATTCATAAAATTATTATGTCAAAAAGTACGAATAATAATGTAATAGCAGAAAATAAAAACATATATTCTTTTAAATGTTTACACTTACTTTTCCACGCTCAACTAGATCTAAGGTTTCAAATATCACCATTTTAAGCTATTACCTAACCTTCACCCAGTCAATTTTCAAATAGGAATTTTGTTTATAAGCAAACAATTTCATTACCAAAGGCACCATGATTCCATAAAGCATATACAACAAAATAATTTAGATTGTAACACTCTTCCTAACAAAACCTCTCGTATAAAAAGGTACAATCGACAACAAAAAGTAACAAACAAGGTTAAAAATCCCCTATCCACACATTCTAGACCCTGCACTACACCTTTTCAATGGTTTCAAAAAATGAATATTCAAAAACATTCTTTGTGATAAAATTTAATATTCATCATATACAATATGCACCAACTATAAAATACTTGTATTCATAAAATGCCACACATATGAAAAATCCTTTTCACAATTGGATTAATAATACATCTCCACATACCCATATTTGAAGAGATTATACTCTACTTCATACCCATACTTTCTTTCTTCTCACTTTTTCTTCCCATAATGTTAACTCAATCAGCCAGTTGTGTAATTATTGTTTAAGATGGTGACCCTATATATCTCCCTAAGGTCAGATCACCGGGTATTTCAAATCTCCAACAAACGTCTCTATCAAAGTATTGTGCTATGTTAAACCTCTTCTTTATAAACTTTGTTAGTCTGGTCTAAACCTCTTGTTCTCATAATTAAGCATTGTGTTTGTTGCAAGTGCATTTTATTCATCTGGGAAATGAAAATGTGATGTTTTGTTGTTGTACAATTGGTTGGTTGCCACTATCATCGGATGATTTCATATGATTTTGAATGGCAGAATGGAAAAATCAAGTTCTGAGGCATCACTTTTTTGTTTTTTAAACCTAGCAGTTCAAAAATGACAAAACTACTCAACTCTTCCTACGGCAATTAAGAAAAAGAAAACCCTAATGTAGAACATATTTATTGGTTAAGTCCCTAGGGATAAAATATATTATTTTTCTGTAAGACAATCTATACTCTCGTAGAAAATATCCTTTTCTAAATAATACCAGAGACAGTGTGAAAAAGAAAACTTAGTGGAGATCAATTATTAATATAGTAGTGCATTGAATTTGAAGCAGGCATGCATGTCAAGCAACTTTGCCTCACACAATTAATACAGTTCATACAGTGTACAAATATTGCCCCCAAAATTATGGTGCACTTATCACCGTCATTGGTTGCAAATGTGGGGACACAAATCTCTAATAATTACACAACTAGAAGTGATCTTGTGGACCACCCAAATTCAGCTATTAACATGTATATAAACAGTTTTTTTTGTTTCCACACATCAATTTCATATATATCAATAATATTATCCAAATATCCTCCCTCGCTTTACGGTTTTAACTTGCATGGAAATTGTTCAGACAATATCTAGGTACAGGATTTACAGATGAACGAGAGAGATTAATTATTTGGTGGGAATATATATGATTAATTATACAATGCATGCAATGTCTTGACAACGATATATGGATCATCTTGGAGATTTCAACGACTCCACATGAGATTTTCCGCATGGTCCTCTCAATCTAATGAAGAGTCTGTATTCATCGAAGGTCATGGCAGTGTAGAGTGCAGGTTTGTCTGGTTTCACCAACTCCGTTACTGGCTCTATGGGTATGTTACTTTTGGGATTGTAGAAGAAGGCCAGGGAAACTCTCTCTTTGTTTGAATTCACTACCACCCTGTGCTCCACACTCTTGTAGTTTGCATTGCTTAGAATCTTGTCAAACACAAAATAACAAAAACATTAGTACCCTTTTCAGATTGATAAAGCTACTAAACACCTAACCTTAAACTTCAATTGAAAGTAACATCGCCATGCAAGACGCAAAGATCTACGTCAATGTCGTACCACGGCACGGATTAAGTAAACATATGCACGTAATATAATGCAATATACCCTTAAGAATGAATATAATGGATTGTTTTTTAGAATATTTCCATATATAAAAAATGGGTTTTTCATAAATAACAGTGTCGTACCATGACTGACCAATTTTTTTAAATCTCATTCAGTCTTAAGTCATGATAGAAACAATAACGTCATGCATTCGTTATGTGTTTATTTGCATATTTATTTTATTTTCACATAGTTCATACGAGTTTGATCAATGTACCGTCTTTTTTTTTTTTTTTATCAGAATCTAAACAAAGGATAGATTATAGGTATCTAAAGAGTACTCTTTTAGTTGAAGTTTCAATTATTGGAGCGTGCTCTAACCTTTTTTAGTAGTCAATACAATTTACATATTTCATCTTATGCAGTCATGATAAAAATAATATTTTACTAAGTGCAATTTGGTCATTAGAACGTTGTCAAAGATGCAATTGTGTACTAGTACTTATCTTGCATATAATTGGTAGATCATTGATCATATCTTTATATGATGAAGCTATGATTGGTCACAACCACATAAAGGATAACTTCACGGTCACAAGCTCATCTAGGAAGTTAAAAGCACACATGAAGTTATGGCATGAAATGATGTAATGCCAATAAAAGGACGACCTTATCGTTAATCCTAATGTTTATCCATTATGTGTGCGTGCTGATTCTGCGACAGTGAAAAGAACATTCTTTATAATAAAGATCTCTTTCTAGTTCCAACCAAACTATCTCTAATAAAAATGAATTCACTAGCTACTTATAATTAATCTTATTTTTTTTATGAGACAGCTTTTTTGTAATATGAACATTTATTATTAATATACACTAACAAATAGTTTCATTAGCATAAGAAACTAGTATATATACATATCATCGTTACATCATATTACTAGAATAACATAATGAATCTTAAAATAATTATATACTAACTATTTAATTTCCTTCAAAAGGAATCTACTGTCACGTAAACCTTGGGTTGAAGTATTCTGACGTCAAATGTATGAACTAAATGAATATAATTAAAATTAGTATATTGCCTTTTGCCAAATAAACAAAACAAAACGTGAAATGAGATGCAGAACATTGAAAAGGCCACATCCAAACAAAAATCCGATGAAGGACAAAACTAAAAAAAAAAAAAAGAAATCCACAGCACAACTTGACATGTCCCATCCATGAGACAGATGCATGCATCATGATTTGTAGCCGAACATTCTCTACAAGGATAATTGAGAGAGAGAGAGAGAGAGAGAGAGTATTCACCTGAATTTGGTCACCAATATTGACAATAAAAGCATGGGGAAGAGGCTTCACCGTGATCCAATTGTCGCCTTTTCGGACTTGAAGACCAGGGACTTGGTCATCTGAAAGTAAGAGTGTCATGCCTCCTGGATCTGAGTGAGAAGACAAACCCAACGTCAGTTCTGGCCTTGGACACTTTGGGTAAAAATTCACCCTCATGCATGCTCCAATATCTTCTCCTCCAAAAGCTCTCTCAAGCACTTCCTCTTCCAATCCTAGGTTTATGGACAGAACCTTCATCAGCCTCCCACATAGCTTCACCAGCTCTCTTCCGTACTCATCACACACTTCCCTGCATTAATTCATGTTTTATATATATGTGTGTTATCTTACCTAGAGTACATAATATAATATAACTAACAATAACTTAAGCATTTTATAGTTCATTGTGATATGAGTGTCTTGTATTAATTCAATTCTAGTTTAGAATTCAACCTATCTCTTCCAATAGAAAAACTAGTTTAATTTATGCATTATTCATGCATGTTTTGTGTAGAAAGGATTGTCGGGTTTAATTGTCTTGGGTGATTGGACCATGACATGTTATATACCGAAAGAGAACTCCATAAAAGAACTCAACACCCGCACGACAAGGATCCATAATAATATGACAATAAAAAAAATTACAATTTGTTCTTCAATCAAAACCTGATTTTTAAATATTGATATAAATTATTAAAATGAAATTTCATTTTTAAAGAAAAAGTAACACTAAAAACACCTATGATATATATAAGTTTTTAACTAAGAAAAAAATCATTAAACGTTTATTATATTAAATATATATATATACCTGCAAGAGGGAGGGTGAGTGGGCCATTTGTTGCAGTCTTTCAATGACAAGGGAAGGTAATGAAGGTAATAGTAATCACTCCAATCAAGAATGGCACCTTTCTCGATTCCAAGCCTGCTACCATACCCTTCATAAGTTTTGGGGGAGTTTGCATATTGCTGCTTCACCTCCAGAGGCATGTGAAAGAACTGTCGCCATGTTTCCCTAGCCATGTCCATCAAGTGAGGACTAACCCCATGGTTCACGATTTGGAAAAAGCCCCACTCATTACAGGCCTCAGAGATTTGCCTGAGCGTGGAGGCTCGGGCATCTGGGTCACCGTAAAGCCCTGCGAGGTCAATGACTGGGATGTTGGCATCATCGTCAAGAGCAGAAGATGGACGGTCACTAAGGGGTTTGATATACCTCTCTGGGATTGAATCTATGCACCTTTCGGACAAGGACTGAACCCGGACTATTGGCTCAGGCCAATCTTGAGGACTACTGTTCTTCATCGTTTTTGCTACTAAGTTTATTTTTGCAGGTACTATGTAACGTGATATCATGGATATATATATAAATATTTCAGTAAGTAATATGAAACAAAGGTGTTGATTTCATTGTAACAGTTGGGTACGTGTGTGTTAGATAGAGAAGAGGGTGGTGGGCGGAAGTAAGAATGAGGGATGAGGGTGATATGGACTTGAATGAAACGTGGAATTCGTGGGGGTTTCATAGGTGTGAATGCTTCTTAAGTTAATGCAAAGAAAAAATAGATGAGACAATTTAGTGGGTATTTTGCAATGGTGGGGTGGCAAGTCTCCTTTGAAGTTGACCTCAAACAAATTAAACTCACGATTTTTTTGGCCTTCCTTCCTTTTATTATTTCCAAAATGTTTACGGTGGATCAGTTTTTTTTTTTTTTACACCCTATTTTATATAGAGAGATTATCTATAATAATATATAAAGAATTTATTTTTAACCTTTTTTATTTCATCCAACAACAAAAAATAATATATATCTAAGTTATATTTTCTTTTTTCTATTTCTCTAATCATACGTGTCTCTCAATTTTTTTCTCAAATATAAAATAATAATAAAATATTATTTTTTCATAATCTCTCAGTTATATATTCTTTTTTTTTTCTTTTTGAAACTTTGTTTCATATTTATTTATCTACCACATTTCATAATTTAAAAAAAAGAATTATATTTTAAAATTAATATATACCTTCAACTTTAATAAATTAAAATAAAAAATATAATAAAAATACAGATTCAAGTATTCCCGCTAGTCCATAGAATGAGAATAGTAATTTTGATTATCTTAGGTAAAATTTGATTAATTATGAAAACCCTCGTTCAAAAGTAACAATCACACCTATCTTTTATGTTAAGTATGATTAAATTTGTTTATAAGTATTTTTAAAAGATAAAAACAAAATGAAAAAATTATATAATTATTTATAGAGTGTGGAAGTTAATCTAAAAACCATGTATTTCATTTAGAGATTAGTCCGATGAAGGATTACGAGTAAAAAACAACGTAAAGAAAAAGGAATACGATTTTGAGAGTAATGCGATTAATAAAAAAGTGTATTAATTACTTGTTTTGTTAGTGTCTAAATGTTGTTTAGTTTGAGAAAAAAACATGCGAGAAGATGGTCCAATCACACTAGCAAACTAGTCTTGAACAGGAATTCGTGTATTGCCGTTTGGTTTTTCATCTGTCGGCATTTAATCAAACAAGTGTTAGAAACATGGTGTTTTGGAATTACACGATAATTGATGATGTTTAGGAACAAACAGTTATTTTTTTACAATAAACAAGACACTGCATTAAAACATATGTATAACCATTGATTCGTTGATCACGCAACAAAATAATTAGTAACCGTGATAAAAAATAAAATATATATTTTATTTTCAAAAACACAATTGGATTCAGTTATGTTGAGTGAATAAGGTATCTAGGATAGGAATAGGACGTATGAGTGTACTGGTAATAGCAATAACGTCTTTCAATGATGAATTATTAAAAGATTATGATCAAAATTGCAATGATATTTTTTAAAATTATATAAATTGTAATTTATATTATTATTGGAAGTACATATCCTGCAATATTTAAGATGAAATGAAGCACGGTGAATATGGGCTTTATAACTCATGTCGACAGAGTTGGATTGAAAGGGATGGCCCCTATATATTCCGGCTCCGTGCACAGCTCGATTTAACTTTACTTCTTTTTATTCACATCTTATTAGTCACACGTTTGTTTAGTCAGACTTTTTTTTTTTTTTCATATGTTAATATTGGTTTACGTAGGTTTGACTAACTGTTTTTTCTTTTTCATATTTAACTTATTTATTTTTTTAAAAAGAAAGTTTTTCTATCTTTTGTATTCAAAATACACTAGTTTTTCTTTTTTATGTTATCTCCTAAATTCTAAGTGGAATTCATGTTTTTACGTGATGGTATTAGAGCGGGTTAACACCCGTTCGCCTCCATTGCATATTTTATATTTTTTTCTTATATTTCTTTCTTTTTATTTCTTGATGGCTTTTGTCGGTTCTTCAACTATTAATAGCAATACGTAAACGCAAACCGTGATTGACGAATATTTGAATCCTTCAAGCCCGTATTATTTGCACCCAGGTGAGAATCTTGGAATGATTCTTGTTTCAAAGCAATTGAATGGTACGAAATACCATTCTTCGAGTAGGAGTATGCGTAGAACTTTTCCTTCAAAAAACAAATTGAAATTCATCATTGGAGGCATCAAGATTCCATAAGAAGACGATCCTCTTCATGACTCATGGGAGAGATGCAATGTCCTGGTGCTCTCTTAGATAACACGAACTTTAAGTGATCAAATTGCACAAATTACTATATACATTGATAATGCAAGAGATCTTTGGGAAGATCTTAAGGAACGGTTCTCAAAAGGAGAACATTTTAGGATTTTCCATCTGCTACAGGAATTGCACTCCATTAAGCAAGGAGAAAAAAGTGTTTCTTAATTCCATATAGATCTCAAAATTCTTTGGGAAGAGCTGGAACCCTTGCGTCCCATTCCTAGTTGTACCTGCAATCTGCAATGTTCTTATGAAGCCTTCAAAATCGTTTCTCGTTATCGTGAATCAGAACATGTAATATGTTTTCTAAAGGGATTAAATGACGCCTTCACAACTGCAAAATCTCAAATTCTTTTAATGGAGCTTGTCCCAGGAATCAATCGTGTTTTCTCGTTAATTCTGCAACAAGAACGACAATTGGCAGGAGTGAATCACGTTGATGCCAAAACTCTTTTGGCAGCTGCTAATCAATGACCTATTGCGAATTTTAACAATTAAGGAAATTGGAAAACTCAAGGACGTGGATCTTGGAAGAACCAAGGACATGGGCGTGGGAGGAATTCCAACTATGGTAAACAATGTACTTTCTGCAATAAATTGTCTCATACTGTTGATGTGCCAAACACGGATTCCCCCCATGGTTTAAAAGTAAAAAAAATGATTATGTTGTCAACACTGTTATGACTGACAACGTTTTGAAAGAAGAAGACTAAAAAAATTAAGTGCATATTGTTCAGAATAGTCAGTTGACAGGTGAACAAATTCAACAATTATTAAAACTTCTGCAAGAAAAGAATCAAGACATTACTCATAGGGTCAATCAGTTTAAAAATAATAATGGTGATCAACAAGACTCCAAATGTATTCTCTGTTCATCTTGGATTATAGACACTGGGGCTACTGATCATTAGCTTACAATAAAAATAATTTTTTAATTTTTACTAAAATCAAACCTATGCATGTGAAATTACCTAATGGTAATCATGTCACTGCTGAATATGCTGGCATGGTTTGTATTTCAAATAGCCTTACACTCTATAATATTCTTCATATTCCCAATTTTGAATTTAATATAATTTCTGCTCAAAAACTTATTATTGATTCCAATTGTAAACTGATTTTTTCTTCTAACCATTACCAGATTCAAGATGCTCTTACATTGAAGATGATTGGGCATGCTGACCTGAAAGATGACTTGTATTATTTACAGAAACCAGATACTATTTTTTCTTGGTCTCATATTAATAACATCAATAATAATAGTTCAATTATGCCTACTGATGACAACACCATTATTAATACTCACAACAGAAATCATTCCACTCCCAATCTTTGGCACAACAGATTGGGACATCCCTCTAGCAAGATAATTGAAAATATGATTAAAGATTTTCCTTACATTCATAATAGTACTAAAAATATTTGTAATGTATGTCATTCGGCCAAGAAACATAAACTTCCCTTTAATAACAGTATTCATGTTTCCAGTACAATTTTTTAAATGATTCATATAGATATATGGGGTCCCATTAGTATTCATTCTATACATGGTCATAGATATTTTCTTACTATTGTTGATAATTTCTCTAGACACACATGGCTTTTTCTTATGAAGAGTAAACATGAGACTAAGTTTATTGAACAATTTTATCACCCTTGTTAGAAACCAATTTGGTTGTAATATTAAAATTTTCAGAACTGACAATGGGAAAGAGTTTTCTTATCCTGAATTCTATGATAGAAATGGTATTATTCATCAAACTGCTTGTGTAGAGACACCTCAACAAAATGGAAGGGTAGAGAGGAAGCATCAACATATAATGAATGTCACACGTAGTTTGTTATTTCAAGTCAATCTTGCAAAATGTTTTTGGTCCTATGTTGTTGTTCATGTTATCTACCTAATCAACAGGCTACCAAGTAAAACCACAGGGAACCAATCTCCTTTCCAAATTCTGCATAATCAACTCCCTGTTCTTGATGATTTAAAAGTGTTTGGTTGTCTTTGCTTCACATCTTCAATTTATAGCAACCGTACCAAGCTAGATCCTAGAGCCAGAAAAAGTGTTTTCCTTGGATATAAACTTGGCACCAAAGGTTATGTGACTCTTGATTTACATTCTAGAGAAATTTTTATAAGCAGAAATGTGATATTCTATGAAAATGAATTTCCCTATGTTAAAACTAATATTGTTGATGACACTGATCTTTTTACATTGACTGATTTTCAATTTTTTTTTATTCTAACAATCTCATGCATAAGAAATTCAGTTCTAATCATGTGCACCAGTTTTCAAATCCTCAAGATATTTCCTTCCAAGTGACAGAAGAATATATTTCCAAATGAACACCTAACCAGCCTACTCCTCGAAGGTCTACTAGAATGAGAAAGACACCAGATCATATGCAGGATTTCCGTTGCAATTCCATAAGTGCTGACAACTCCAATAATTCAGATTCTTATTACAATTCTTCAAGAGATGACAACACCAACAATTCTAAAAATAGTATCATTTTTTATCCTCTATCTTCTAATATCTCCAAAACATTTGAAATACATTCTTACTATTTCTAACAATTCTAAAGCCACTACTTATAAACAAGCAACTTGTTACCCTGAATGGATTGATGTTATGCGTAAAAAATAAATGCCTTA